GGGGGGGGGGGGGCTGACTTGCCATTGCTGCATTTGACTTACTGTTCTTCCTCCCTGCCTTTGCCAGGTGAGACGCTGCTGATGAACCTGCGTGTACAAGCAGAGTCCCCCTTTGGTGTAGGGGTCCTCAACCACCTGCTGCTGTCGGGCTCCGAGTCGGACCAGGTGGCCTGTGCTCTTGCCCTCCCCCTGATCTGCAGGTGGGTCCGACTGATGGATCTCTTCCTCCCAGGACCAGCAGGGGGAGCCCAAGCTGGGTCTGTCAGCCTGGCCCTTTGCCAGCAGTGGCTGCTTCCTCACACAGGAGCAAGGAGGCCAGCGTGCTCAAACAAGAGGTGTACTCTGGGCCGGGGAAGAGTGAGTGGATAGTTTTGCTCATCCCGCACATTGGATGTCAGGGGAGGAAGCAAAACCCACCAGTCAGCTTTTCTTCTGCATGTACTGAGGGGCTGAAAGGGACCTGCTAGTCTAGAGAGGAGTTGCAAAGACAGGCAAGGAAATAGTGTGTCAGAAGGAAGTGACAGCAGTGTCAGGAAAGTGGGAATTGTACAGAGTTGGGTCCCGTGGAGGATTTCTGCAGACTGAAGGGGGGACCGCCAGTTTCCTCTCTCATGCTGCAGCCTTCCAACCTCCCTGTGCTGTTTTGGGGGATCTGCTGTCTCCCAGGACCAGCATTTGGAGGGCCACTCTTGGACAGCAGAGGGAGGGGGAGGCAAGGAATTTGTGCTCCATTCCATTGGCAGAAAATTTTGGTGGGATCCAAGGGCATTATGAGGGGGAGGGATTTGGGGAGAATGTGTATATGTGGTCAGCACAATGTGCCTCCTCAAATTTCTGGGCCAAAATCTCTCCAGGATGAGAAGGAAAAGGTCGAAGCAACCCGAAGGCCACGAGTGTGATGTTCTTTCTTTGCTTCTGCTGCAGGAAGGATTCCCTTTGCCGGAAGCTCCTCTTGGACCACTCCGGCCTGCGCCTCCTGCTAGCCGCCCTGGTGCGAGGCCCCGACCCCCACTTCATCTTCTACGCCTCCGACTCGCTCTCCCTCCTCCTGGGCTCTCCAGCCCCACCTACGGCGGCGGGGGTCTCTTCTCCTGCCTTAAAGCGACCCCGCTTGGACCCCCCACAGCCTTGTTCTTACCACCACCTGGTGGACGAAGGCAGGGCCGACCTGCACTTCCAGCTTGA